CTTAATCTTATTTAGGTTTATACTAATTCCGCCGGTTAATATTATATACCCTAGGTAGGTAACCTTATTCTAATAGAATTCGCACTTATTAATATCTAGTTATAGGCCGGCGGCTTCTATTACTTCTAGGACCAGCTTTATATAACGCTAGTAGTCTTTAAAGTTTTTGCTATATATTAGAATATTATTAATATATGCAGTATAGAATATATCTAGGTACAGGCGGAGCACGTTGTTTATATAGTATTAGAATATACTAGGAGCGTTAGCTAATCTAAATAGCATTACCAGGTATTTAAACAGGCCGTATCGCGTCCGGAAAGCAGTTAGCTATTTATCTCCTTTCGCAATTTATAAGCAATTAAATGCGGAGATAATATTAAGCTTTATATAGTATTTTACCTTACTTAATTATGCTAGGGTCTCCTAAATTAAGGGGATTAGGTATTAGTTCTTAATAGTTATAGTATTTAGCGCGCAGTAGTTAATATAGAATTATAGGCCTCCTCCAGGCTTCTTAATAAAGATAACCGGAGAGGCAATAGGTAATAAACTAGCACAGATAAATTCTTTTGCGAGGTTGTTATTAAGGTACTTCCTTAGCACCTTTAATTTATTTTATAATATTCCGTACAACAGGCTAAATCTATGCAGTTTGCTGTTTTTAAGTATAATCTTATAATTATATATTTAGTGTTGAGGTAACTTATTAGCTTTCTATTAGGAGAAGGTTTTTAGCAAATAGTAATATTATGCTAGGACTTTTATAGCTAGGTCGGTTTAGGTTTTTAAAGCTAAGGCCTTATTAATATCGGCAACAGTAATAGTAAAGATTTTATAATTAGGTTATTAGGCTAATTAGGTTATAAACGCCGCGTTTAGTATATAGATATCCGTCCGGGTATTAGGTTTAAATTTAGAATTAGATTTAGTTTCGGGTTTAGTTTCTAGCTTAGGTTTAGGGTCGGGCATATTTATCTAGTATACTATTTTAGAAAGCTAGTAATTATATTAGTATTATATAGATAGGCTCGATTACTATAAGTAAGAGCGTTAGGTTAGAGGTATTAGGCACTACTTAATAAAAGGCGCTTTAGAAAGCTATTCTATATAAGTTCTTATTATAGAGGTTTAGAAGTTGCGCAGGTATTGCGCCTAGTATTAGGATAATCGAAACAATAGTTATTAGTTATTATAGTTAAATCTAATATAGTGCTTATATAGCTAGGGCTGTTCTAGTAGTAGCTTATATTTACTAAGTTCTAGTATATAGAAACAGATCTATTCTATATAGTTTAGGTAGTAGAAGGTTACTTGCGCAGAGTGCGTAATCTATTCTTTTTTAAACGTTTTTCTATTAAATCTAGTTAGGCGTAAAATATAAGAGAGCGGGTTAAGGCGGAGGTTCTATATACACGCCAGATTCCTGTAAATATAACCTATACCTATAGCTCTACTATTAATTAGAGCTATAGCGTTTATATAGGTAGGGCCTTATTATATAGAAATAGGGATAAAAATCTATTATTTCTAGGAGTTAGGTTTAGGTTCTTTAAATAGGTTTATAAAAATCCGGGGTTAGAATAGTTCTAGGGGGCGACTTAGCCCCGGAATAAGGCTTTTAATAACTTTTTTATATAGAATAAGCGGCTACCTTTAGATTAATTAGAGCTAAAAAATAAAGCGGTAGATATAGAGGAACAGCGGGCAGATAAAAATTAGGTGGAATTAGTTAATTACGCGTATATATACAGTTAGGGGCTTAGAGGCTTATCTATACTAGATAATTAGACTTAGAGTAAAAGAATAGAGTAATTGCGGGAGATATAGCTATACTTTCCGCATTTAAAGCAGAGGCCCTTTTAATAATATTTATTTTATTTAGCTAAGCCGGCTAGAGCATATTTAAATATATTAATTTCTATTATATCTAGGTCTTTTTATAACAGAGGGGAATATTAAAAGGGTTAGCCGGGCAGGAATTATAGATTGTTATTATACTTTGTAATTAAGTTGGTATAGTTGTTTAGATTATCCGGGGTAGTAGCGCTAACTATTATATAGCAAAGTTTATTAAAGAAGAAGTATTAAAGCTAAGTTATTAGGCTAGCTTTATTTAGATCTATATTAGCGGTAAGTTATTAGAATTTAGTAAAGTGCGATATAAAGGCACACCTTCCTTACTTTAGTATATAGAGTCGATTTAAGAATATAAGTTTCTAGTTCGGATTGCTGTATATAGCCTGCAGGAATTAGATAAGTTAATTAATAGTGCAGATATTTTAGTCTATTAAAAGGTTAATAAGCGTTAATAGGTTAGATTCTAATCGAGAGTAAGTATATAGTAGGCAAGCACGTTTAGTTAGGTATTAATTAGTATTTCCTTTTAGTTTATACTATAGTTATTAGATAAAAATTAGAAGTTCCTTTTAACTCCCCTTAAATATTAAAGGGTTAATTAGATGTTTAGTTTTTAGAGTCGGCGGGGCGGCGGCTATTAGAAAGAAGTTTGTTAAAGTCGGCAGAGTAACTTTAATAGTTAGGGTCCGTATATAGTTTATATTATTAGCAGGTATTAAGCTATTATTTAATTTATAAATAAAAGGCCCTATAAATTATTAGTCGGGCGCTAGTAGTGGAGTAGAGGTAGATTTAGACTAAATTGCGGCTACTTCCTTCTGCAGAGCAGTAATTTCCTATTTCTAGGCGGATAGAACTTCTATTATAGTAGCCTGCTATTCCTTTATAAAGCTAATAAGCTCTAGAAGTATTATAGTCGGGTTAGTAGGGGTGTTTATAGTAGTAAGAGTAGATATAATATAATATTATAATAGCGCTATATATAAAAGGTTAAGGGCTTAAAGAGGAGCGTTAATTAGGTGCTATATATAATGCTATATGGAGAATTAAGACGTTATATAAGGAACAGGAAGACGGGAGACGGGCCACCGGATATAAGGGCGTGGCCGAGCGCGTGGCGTACAGCCTCTATACCGTTTCGGCGCGTGGCACGCGTGTACGCGAGGTCCTTACCAGATCAGGTAATAGGAAAAGGGGGCAGCCGGTAGGTGGCTGGAGCGGGACAGGATAGGAAGCGGAAGCAAAACGGGAGCGGAGCAGGGCAGGCAGGGCAGGAGGCCGGCCAACGGTAGTAGGCCGGTGCAGATTGCTGGAGTTGTAGCAATCTGCGGCAGAATTTCGGTAGGTAGGGTGTCGCAGTCGATACCGTGACAACGTCTAGGAATTAGAGGGTGTACGATTAGTAGTCCCCTTTTTTAAAATCTTAATATACTATAGATTATATATAATATAGCTTATATTTAAGTTTTTATAAGTTATTATCTAGTAGTTATTAAGATATTTTGCTATAAAATATTGTTTTTTTGGTGTTAGACCGCTTACTTAGGTGGACCGCTCGCTTATAGAGTACGTTATCCTTTCTAATTTATATATATCCTTTCCAATTTATATACACTAATTAAATTAATTAGATTAATCCCCGCTTAAGGTTTAATTAGCTAGAGGATTAATTAATTGGATTATCTAGAGTTTATACTAATAAACCGGCCGTTAATCCGATTAAGAATTGGCCGGTTTACTAACCACGCTGCTTTCAACCACCAACAACTTTATATCGCAGGCCACCGGACCCAACAGGAGCCTGGGCTATATAACCAATTTCCACCTGCTGGCAATTTTTAAGCAATATATAATATCCGGTATTAGGAAGCAGTATTCCCTATTAAGTCCAACAGCTATTTTCTTCTATAGAACCTACTAACCTACTAACTTCTAGATGCTTACTATTAAGCACAGATCGAGGAGCACTATCCTTAGATATAGATAACTAATAATCTACTTGCTTTCTACGCGGATCCTCTATTTCCAGGAGCGCGCATCTTCGACCCTGATGATTGGCCCAGGCACGGTGTTATAACCGGTTGGATGGAGCTATTCTGGTTCGACCCGAATAATGTGTGATTTTATGACAAAGTACGGTTCCAGGGTTGGGCGACAAAGGTTTCTTCAGGCGCTACAGGCACTAAAGTTAGTAAAAGATACCCAGGGTTAGTTACTTGGCTAGTAGGGGTTAATAAGGCCTTCGATTTTCTTTCTTCTACTTCTATATAGCTAGTAGGAGTGCTTGTTATAAATGGAATTTGCCTGTACACATATTATCTTGCAGCAGAATAAGCCACGGGATAGAGTCTTTGGTGAACTAGCTACTCTATAAGATCACTGTATTGATGAAAGCTTGACTAAAGGTTGAAGGTTACTTCTAGGCGAGGCTAGCACGTGATCTAACCCATACTAAGTCTAATCAGGATAGCTTGGTGTGTGGCGGCGCACCTACCCTTCTCCAGGTTCTTTCGTCGATCTATCACACCATCAATCTCCCAAACGACCCCTCCCTGCGTCTATCCTCATTTAATTCTCGCGATAAATGCCGATTTTTCCGCCTGCCCGATTGCTGTAGAGCAGCTCTACTGAGATGCTACAAAGGTACCCTCTTCTAGATGGAGAATTATTCACGTCGGCTCGGCATTTGCGCCTTTTAGACAGCTATGTACCTTACCAAACGCAACAAAAGGATTGATGCAACCGTTCACTCATCCCGACCACGGCCCCTGGCAAAATGGGCGCCGATCATAGCAACGCCATCCCCAAAAGGCCTCTCGTTGAGAGCAGAAACGTGAAGAACTTGGCCAACCGGGGGAACCATTCCTAGATAGTGTTACCCGAGGGACATAGACTAGGATTTACAAGAAAGCTTACCATGATAGGGTGCGCACCCTTACCTGCCGCCATGATCGGCCATTATGTGCATCTATATAGGTCTAATCAGGGGGTCAGCATCGAGCACACAGGACTACATAACCATGCAGGTCCGCGATGAGGCGTGGTCGAGATGAATACCCCCACCCGTCTAAGAAACTCACTGTCCTTTCTGCTGCTCGTAAATCAGTCGCTTACAGTCTCTACTTTCTATCTTTGTCTCTCTTTTTCATCGCGACCTTTTGCATAATTCGAAGTTATGGGAGTCGGCGACCCAAACGGCCTCCAATGGATATTTCCACCAGGCAACGATCATAAGACCAGCGATGTCGCAGCAAATTTTGGTCCCGTATACGTTCAAGATGCAATCAAAATCGAGTATACTCCGGCAGACCAGCCCGCGCAGATCGAATTAGCGTGCGGGTTTAGCGGTGATGCCCAGGGTCAGTATTAGCATTACAGCCCGGTCACATCTAGAACCTCATAGCTGACCTTGATTTAGCATCTGTTATTGAAACTAGAAGTGCCTCCAGGTCGCCATACTTCTGGAATCTGCTCAAGCCCGCTGGTGACGGAAACGGCGCGTGTCATTTCGCGTTTTCTTCAGCATCGGCAGGCAATGGAGACTACTGGGTATACATGTCAGCTAAAGCTGACCACACCACTATCTGGAGCAATCTTGCCGTGGCTACTGTTGGTACTTCCTCAACGGCCGTAGCAGAGTCAAGTCAAACTTCAACGATGGTTGCAAGCAGTGCAGCACCTACCACTACATCATCACTCTTGACCGCTGCTCAGCTGGCGGTATCTTCGAATAGCAAGCCAACAACAGTCATCACAAGTACAACAGTTTCTTCAATTACCGGATTGGCACTCGCCGCATCCAGTCCATCAGCACCAAAAGCCTCGGGTTTAGTACTAGCAACAAACACACCTGCCGCGTCAAGTGTTTCAACTTCGACCGCAGCACCCACTACAGAGAAGAAGTCCTCTTCAAATCACGCAGCAATGGGCATCGGTGTGACTGTCGCGATTCTTGCCATCATAGCCTTCGTGCTCGGTCTATTCCTTTTCTACAAACGGCGGAGTAGGAACAACTTCAAATCCCTACCCGATGAACCAACTCCAGATACCAAGGCTACTGTATCACGGCCTCTGCCCACGAAAAACGTCGGATACGGAATTGAGATGGTACCCCAAGAAAAGGGGTGGATGTATGATCGATATGCGCAAGCAACGGAACCGGTAGGAGGCAATATGCCTCCGAAGGCTGTTGTAGCCCCGGAGAGTACCGTAGCCTCGAAGAATCCCTACTCAGCGGCTATGATGTATCAAGAGAAGCCGTATCCACAACTTCCTGAGTCAGGGGGACAACCACGAGCAGCTCCAGCACCACCTCCGAAGGATACGGACGAGATACCAACACAGTCCACGCAGCCATTTTAATGGTGTTGGGTTAGATATTCCCATAGATACCATTATTCTTGTCACCAGTAATGTTTAGCAAGCCGTTACGGCGCATGTGTCTACGCTCCCAGATGATCATTGAATCCAAGCAAATCGTCAGTTCTCGGTCACTTCAGGGAACTCAGCAGTGATTTTTCTATTAATATTGAGACGCAAATGTACAAGGGGAAGGCACATCTGATTATGTGGGTAGGGGACCTTCTCAATGGTAAAGCTCAATCGCCAAAGGTGGCAAAATAGCAGCTGACCAGGAGGAATACGGGCATAGGCCATGCTACACTGCTCAGAAGTCGCAGAATTTTCCGCAGTCGGAATTCCGAGAATGAAGGCCTCCACAAGTTCGCCATTACTAGTACTAGGACACAAGTTTGGGCACGTCGTCCTCTGATCTCTTGCAGGAGTATGATGATGTGCTGAAGCACCACAAACAGCGGCCAAGCAGGCCGACGGTAAGCGCATTAAAGTTCTCTGATTCAAGCTCTCAAGGCTTTTGAATATTATCGGAAGATTTTTAATGTGCTGAAGCACCTCAACTGGTAGCGAGCGAGACTCAGGGTTTCCGGCCTACGTGCCTAGCCAATTACAACTTCTACAGAGAGGGGTTGGGGTACGGTGGCCTACCCTGCCTACCGCTGCCTACTGCTGCCTCTAATTAGTACTTATGCCTACGCTCCCTATGTAGTATATAGTCTGCTCGTACGGCTTCACAAATCAAACAGAGTTCACGTCAATTTGCAACCTAAGTGCGAGTGTGCCCAGAGTTCTGTCAAGGCACTGTGGCGAGTTTCTCTGTATTTTCCCAGAGAAGTGTCCTAGCTTATGTGGCCAGACTATCTACACCGCCTCCAACATCCAGCTAGTGGGCAAGGTCGAGGACGAGGAGGCGATGAAGGATGCGGAGGATTGTGAACGAGGATGGGAAGAGTTCAGCTGAAAGAACACCGAGAGCGATTTCAGGTGCTCCGTTGAGTGGAATCGCAAGTATCTATGAACCAGGAGACGAGATCTGTCTTGCTAGATAGTATTGAAGGATTGATTGTATTACCAGAAACATAAACTTATATGATGGTGATCACAGACTCTTCTACATCATCAAACACGCTTCTAGGCACGTTCCAACTGCATCCAATGCGCTGATAGTGATTCCCATTGTTCTTGCCTGAATCCATATGGGGTTGCCATAGTAATATGGCAGCGACGAATGCCTCATCGTAATCTTCCCTCGCAAGCTGGAGGAGATGGAGAGGACGCGTCCTCATGTCCACTCCTTCTGAAACCCAGTCAGTATCTAAAGAGAGGATAATTAGTGATGACGTTTCCGTCTTCACGTGGCCGCCACTAAGGCCTGCGCTCCAAACCTGCGCCAATCTCCCACGCACGACGAGGCTTCCCGCTTCCAGCGGCCCAAACTCATCGCCCGATCTATAAGGGGTCACTTTACATCGGAAGATGCGACATAACGGCTTCATACTTGCTGCGCCATATTCGTACCATACTTTTCCACTGACGCTTGCCCACGACCAAAAAGGCGCCCTATGCTGCGGCCGACCGAGCTGATTCCCAGGTTCTCCGCTCGCCCATAACATGTTCTGAACCAGAGAGCTTTCCCACATGCCAGCGTAGTATCTTCCGAGCTTCCGGAACTGCTTGGCTAGGCCGGATAGCGCGGGAAGGCGGTCGGATGAAAAAGCTAGACTGAGCCCAGAATATTCCTTCACGATATCGTGCCATCTTTTAATGAGGGCTGTGAGGGTGGCTCCTCTCTGCAACGCAATCTCATGCTCGCGTCTTGGATGTGGGCGCTTATAGACCGGGCTGAGGAGGGTTTTGGCGAAATGGCCACATTCGCAGTCCAATGCAGTCGCGCATTCCCATACTAGCTCATCCGGTCCGAAGTGTAGACCCCGTGGCGATAAAAGCCGTTCTTGGTACACCCAACCCCGTCTTAATAGTGGCGAATGGGCAACTTCAATGCCTCTGTGACCCACCCTATCAACATCTAAGAGCTTGTGCGAGAGTAGTAATGGGTGGCTAAGGCGAACCTCCCACGCATTGACGCCGACATTTCGTGGTCGAAGCGTAAGACGATTGGCGAAGACAGTAGATGTCCAGAACAGGCCATCAGTATCATTTCTGAGCACCGGGTACGAAGGCTAGCTTTCTACGCCGGATGCGAACAGTGTGAGCGTCGATTGGGCGAAAGTAGACCACATCCTAACGGACTCTTGTTGCCAATCCAAATCATTGCCTTGGATGATGCAAAGAGAATCTATCCAAAGATATCGAATACCGAGTCCGCGGGTAAAGACAACGGCGTCTTGAAAGGTTTTGGTGAGATCGGACCAGGGGATATTTCGGAGGTATTTCTGTGGCGTTGACTGGGTTGTCCGGGTCATCTCTGAAATTGGACGCCATCGATGACTCAAGCAGACGTAAGGGGCTGCTTTACCGCGAGGTTCGAACAGGGAGACTTTTGGATTTTGGTGTTTTGGGTCTTTGAGACTGCTATCGGTGCAAGCTATTCTGACGTCGAGAATCCGAGTTGGCAATGGTGTTTTCGGATTCCCAGAGCAATCTTTATGATCGTGTTGACAGGTGTGCAAAAGTGACTAGACCCAGAGGAGTGCTTCAGCGGACGATGTATCTCCTGACACCTTTAGCGCTTCATGCCGGGCACCGGGCCATGGCACAGGCTTCTCTATTGGATTTGTAAGTAATCTGAGTAAATATATAAGAGAATGCGAAGCAGAAAGATACTGCACTAGACCATAAGTTTGGGCACACAGATACGCCACTGCACGGCTCTCACTCTTCCTGGCTCGAGACCACTGTGAGGAGGAGCCTATCTAGCTAGCATGCAGTCAGGCAAAACGTAGCCCAATACCCACTGCATCGACCTTTAAATCATTTTTAGGATTTGAAAGCCCATAGGCGTACCCCAAGCAGTGGCAGTAAGAGTGCCCAAACCTCTGTCCTAGAACTGTAGTTTGATGTGGAAGCAAAGGAAATGGGCCGCAGTTTAGCGCAAAGATCGTGATACAGTACGGAATCTTGTTGACTTACCCGGGACACCGTTCAAGTACCATGCCGGCGACGCATAAGTTCCGTTACCAAGATTAGCTCCAAAACTTAAGCGTATACCCCGGTACTGTCCTTTGGTAATCCGTACTCCCGTAACTTCCAAGGCCAGCCCTGATTCTGCTATCTCGCTCTATGTCCTTTGTGCCGAATGATCTTTGAAAAGCCGCAAAACTTCTTCCCGCTCTGCTTGCAAATCTTCAATCAACCACTTGTCCTCCCACTTCGAGTCTCTCACAATCTCTGATTGGATTACATTCCTCATGGCGAGGATGCCGTCGAAAAACAGAGAGCATGCTTGGCAAGTGCTGCGGTCGGACGAGAGCGCGAGGTCGCGAAAGAAGACATTTTGAATTTGTCGAATAGACCCTCATACTCGAGGATATCTTGGCAGATTTCACATGGGATGCAATCTCTAGTTGATGGTGTTTGAGCGGGAACGATGTCTAAGGCGCGATCGCGATGTTTGTCTTGGAAGGAGGATTCAGAAGATTTCGAGTGGTTTTTGGGTCGCCTAAGCCAATCCTTCATCTTTTTGAGGCCGCGAGGGGCTACTTGCTTAGCCGCCTCATCGGTAGCTGTTCGTTGTGAGGTAGTCTCCGTAACACTGTCCTGGAGGAGAAGAAACAGGTGGGGTTGTCCCAGCTGAATGCGACTGAGCCGATATGGCTCACGGTGGCTTCAACTAAGGCGGCATCGTCGTAATTAGCAACGCTATAAGGTTGGGAACACTGTTCACGATTCAAGCCATGTCGCTATGTTCAAAAATAAAAAGCTTCTTTGAAATGAAACATGATGGGAGTTGAATGCGGGGAACCTCTGCGCCGGCCTAAAGGTGAACAGTGAACTGAGCTTTGGCCACGTGACCGTTGCCGGGGCGTTTGTTATGATGCACTTTTCTGTACATAGCAACATCCCAGCACCTTTTCCCTCACCACCACACCAAACCACCAAACTCTCCACACGCTGTACAACCACCATCGCGCGTCCCCCATAGTAATTGATCCTCATGGATCCCCCACATTTCAAATTCCCGCCCGCATCCCCTGGCACGCCTCTCTTCGCCGTCTCGCCCGAACGCGTCAACAGAACCCGTTCACCATACACAAGCAGCAGCAGCGGCGGCCGACATCTAGCTCAATCGCCATCCCTCCCGGACTTTGGCAGTGGGAGCGGCTCGCCGTTCAGCAAGCGTTCACATGAACGGACCGACTCGGATGCCCATGTTCAGGGCATGGTTGCGCGGTTCAACCACCTGGAGCTGAAGGACCACAATGAGCAGCATCGGCGTGATGAGATTGCTTTCAAACGCGCAGATATGGCGCGGGAGATGGCCGAGCTTGATCTGCAAAAGATGACCGAAGAAAAGGAGGCCTCTGAGAAGGAAGGAAAGAGGTGGAGGGAGGAGGTCCGGAAGTTGAGAAAGGAGCTTGAAGATGGGAGAGATAGGGAGAGGAAGGCTATGAAGAGGGTTGAGGTATTAGCTGTAAGTCACTCCTGTTCATACTGTACTGGACTGTTGTTCTAGTGACGACGAATCATATTAATTGGACTACAGAACGAGCTTGATCGATCCAAGGAGGTGACGACACATTCAGCTAGTGCCTACGAGAAGGAGATACGCCGCGCGAGAAAAGAAGCATTCAAATCATCTACGAACCTGGTCAAGACGCAGGAAGAGCTCAAGGCGACGCGTAATTCGCTGCGCATAATCCAGTCCGGGCTCGAGTCCGAGAAGATGAAGTCATCCAAGCGTGAGCAGGAGGCTTTCACTGCACAGTACCAGCTTGTGGGCATCCAAGAAGCCCTTGAGAAAGCGCGCGATCAGATCAAGATCGTTGAAGAGGAGCGCGATTCACTCAAGACGAGCCTGAAGGAAGAGGAAGTGGCGCGCATTGCCGCCGAGGGCAGAATTGCTTTGCCGGTATCTACTACGGATGAAGACGAAGAATTTGCCTCGCCAGTCAAGTCACCACGGAAGCCGAGAGTCGTCTGCGCGACCTCTGATAGCGAGAATAAGGAAAATGTCGTTCCCAAACGAGCCATCGAGCTTAAGTCGATACAGGAGGAGCTTACGCTTGAGAGGCGCCTCCGGGAGCGAGCAGAGGACCAGATCGTGTTCATGAAAATGGAGTGCCAATTCCAGTGCTGTTCATGCAGGCTGGCAGAGATCCACGGCTCAAGCTACGTGCATGATAGCACATACAACTCGGAGATGGAGAGGATCAAGGCTGCTGTTCCCATCCTCACGCCTCCTGCAAGCAACCACGACAGCGAAGAGATGGAAGATGTTGTGGCAGGGCCACTCCATGTCCCTGAAGAGCCAGTACCTGCTGTCCAAGAGCCAATTCACCTCGAGCAGCAACGCACAGCCACTCCAATTGAGCAGGAACTTGAGCAGGAAGCGGTGGAGGAGAAGGAGGAGTCGGAGCCACAACTTGCATTCTCCCCAACCACCGGTACATTCAAACCCATTAGCAGCGAACAGAAGGAAGAAGCACCACAAGAGGCGTCAACACCAGCGCCTCCTAAGCGATCTCATCTCTCCAACATCGATGAAACAGCACTGGAGTCTTCCCCATGGGGGCCCGGACCAGACCACTCCATGATCCGCACCTCAACCACCTCTCCTCCCCCCTTCCGGCCCACTCAGCCTATCTCTACCCAGTTTCAGATCCCTGAAGAAGTCATTGAAGACGACGAGGATGATCTCCCCAGTGACCCTACGCCTTCTTCCCCTCCGCAGTCAGAGCCTCAAACTCCCCTCCGCGGGCCATCTGCTCCAGCCACCCCTGCATACCTCCTCCGCACTATCACTACTACAACAACTATCCCGCTCCACTTCTCCCCTGCCACGCCGCGCCACCATGATCTCCCGCCTACGCCGTCGACAATCTCGCATCTGCCGACCAACGCGACATCGAGCCAGCCGCTGCAGCCGCTAGAGTTGAACCGGCTACCAATTGATCGCGAGGCCGCGCTTGAGCAGATCAGACTCCGTAGAGGTAGAGCGAGGAGCCTAGCCATGGGACAGGCGACGCCGAAAAAGCAGATGCTGGAGGGAACAGGTGTGAGGAGGGATATCAGTGCGCCGGTAGGGAGGGCTGGAAGGCGATAATACTTTCCAGTTCTGTCTCACTAACGTGCGCGAAGAGAATACCGAAGTTCCAAAAGTCCGCTACCTGGTCTCATAGGCGATAGAGCACCAACAACGGTACTTTGTGTTAACACGGTTAAGTGGTGTGGTGTTAGGCCCTTTTCATATCTGGGCTAGCGTTTTCAGCCCGGCTTGGGATGTCTTTTGCGGGGGTTCAGGATGTGACGGTTTAGCGGCATTGCTGGGGAGTTAGGCTGTTTCCTGTCCCTGTGGATGCTCGCTGATTTCATTGCTGGGAATGGGAGATATCTCTATGTGGTTAGATTGATAGTGCTTGTGCTTTAGTATAATTTGAATCTTGTGTTGAACACTCTTGAAATGCCATCAAGCCGTACAAGGCCTTTGGAATTTGATGCACTCGAGAGCATTTTCTCTGCCTCTATCAGCCTGCCACACATATACGCCGTACCAAGTTCGTCAGCAGTTGGAGTTTCAAACAACGTCCCATTCTTTGCTACCATGCAACCATGAAAATGTGTATTTGATTCGCTTCGTCAGCCCGGGTACATGCAAAGCCCACCATCAGAGTGGTCCCCCATTCCAATTCCGGACCTTGAAACGGGCCTCTACCTAGCTTTTCATCTCCAGCCTTGACACCGCCACACCTAGCCACCAGCGCAGAATTATGAACCCTTTACCGATTGCTCTTCGCCACACGCTCCAACTCGTCCTTCTTTTTGATCGCGTACGAGTTGCTGCTGCCCTTGGCAGCGTTGATCAGCTCTTCAGCGAGGCACTCGGCGATGCTCTTGACGTTACGGAAGGCGGCCTCGCGGGCGCCGATGGTGAGGAGGGCGATGGCCTGGTTGACGCGGCGCAGGGGAGAGACATCGACGGCCTGGCGACGGACGGTACCCGCGGAACCGATGCGGGTGGAGTCTTCGCGGGGGCCGCAGTTGACGATGGCGTCGACGGCGACTTGGATCGGGTTCTGGTCGGTCATTATGTGGATCTGGGAAGAGTGTGGGGTTAGCTTTGCTGTTGCTTCCAGGTATCTTTTTCAGTATCTCCAATTTCGGATTTGTGCCTTCTGGTCCCCCAAATCTCTGACCAGGTGTGGTATTGCGTGGTTGATGTGTGTGGAATGTACGTACGATCTCGAAGGAGTGGGCAACGATGCGGACAGCCATGAGCTTCTTTCCGTTGTTGCGGCCGTTCATCATGAGCGAGTTGGTCAGGCGCTCAATGATGGGGCACTGGGCCTTCCTGAACCGCTTGACGGCATAGCGGCCGGCAGAATGTGAGATGTAGACGGGCGACCGGATTTGGATGTAATCGCTGTGGGAATCGCATGCTCGTTAGCCCTGGTATGTTTCGAAAGCCACTGAGTCTCCCCCAATGCGAGTTGAACTCCATATAGCGGGACTGGGGGCGCCTACGTCAACGAGATATCCCGGATCTCGACATCCTCGTAGCTCCACTTGTTGAACAGCTTGATGCTGCCAATCTCCTCGGTGACCTCTTTGGGCAGGACGAGGTAGCCGGAGGGGCTCTCGACTTCGACTTCGCCGTCCGACATGATTGCGACTCCGGATGAAGGTGGTTCTTTCGTTCGGAGAAGACTGGCGTGAGAGGTGGAGGAGGTTGTCGTGGGGCGTGGTGTTTTCTCTAATGTCGTCGTTGGCGAAATGCTTCTCTGTGGGTGCACGGGCCCGTCGCTTAACTTCAGCTTGGCACGAGCATCCCTGTCGAACTCAACACCACGAAACTATCGCCAGATGTTCCAAATATGTTTTGGACTAAAATGTAGGATAGAGATTAATGAAGAGAACCTGTTATACGATAGCAGAGGCCTTCATTACGAGTGTGCCTTGAGAAATAATCAATCTCACAGCAGATCAGTTGCAGTCTTGGAGTAGACGGCTGCTGCGTCTATTCTATTAAAATGTACTGGTACAAACAGCATGTCAGACTGCCGTTGAAGATGGTTCGGTTCATAAATATATATTAGGTCGTCTTCGAGCGATGAAGTGCTCTTTCAAGTCTTCGCTTTCCCTTTGACGACTTTCTCCAAACACGTGCCGATATCCTCCATCGACACCCGCCCATTTTTGGTTTTCAATCCCACCTCCCCAGCTCTCATATATGCTTCCTTCATTACGCTTGTATCAATCCTGACAAGCCAGCCTTGACCCGTGAAAATCGTGCATTGCCCATCCCTCACCTCTCTCGATCCCTCTACAACGCCACCAACCCTAAGCAGCCTCTCCACCCACTCCCTTTCCCTCTGAGCAGTCCTTGCTGCCTCATTCAGATCCACCACTCCGTTCTCTTTCAATCGCTTCTTGACAGCGTGTAAGCACTTTTCCCTCGTCATTCTTTCTGCCTCTGCCTCCAGCCTCTCCTGCTCCTTCTTCCGGTCACGCTCTTCCTTTTCCTTCATTCTGATCTCTTCTTCCGCAGCTGCTCGTCTTCTCTTCTCCTCGTACAACGCTTCCTCCCGCTCTTCCGCCCCTTCCGCCTCTGCTGCTCTTTGCGCTTCCGACCGCTGCCGCACGAATTCATGGTATGCCCGCCGCTGGTCTTTCCGCGCTAGACTCTTCGCTTTCTTCGCACCAACTATGCGACTCTGAGTCTGTCTCTGTGTGTGGTTCTGATTCTGATTCGCGGGGCCAACGCCCGCATCGTTATCCCGGAAAGCATGGTCGGGCGCACCATTTATCCCAGGCGGCGGAGGTGTCGGCGCGAGCGGAGGTGGCTCAAATTCTAGATCATCATCCGAGGAACCATCTTCGACAATAGCTTGTGGCCGGAGAGGTGGGATAGTGTCTGCTGCGTCCTCAGGTACGTCTTCTTCTTCAGGTTCTGTGGGTTGGTAGACTGGTTCTGTGGCTGTAGGAGGAGCTAGCCGCTTGGTACGGCGTTCGAGTATTGCGGGCGCAATATATAGAGCGCTGCAGAGGGCGATCGTGTGTATTATGTCTTGGATGAGGGGTGTGGAGGGGTCAGTGAACGGAAGGAGGATATCGAGGGCATGTCGTAGAGTGTGTATTATGGATGAGAGAGCCTCCATTATGACTTCCTGGCGTGGTAATGGCCCTGGAATGGTGAAATAGTGGAAAGTGGTGTGGAGTGTAAGTTCATAGGTGATGACGGAAGATTGAAAGAAAGAACCCCAGGCCAAGACATTTAGGGTTTTGCACGTGCCGTCCTCAACACCAACTTCATCATCGCGAACCCCGAACAGCACATCAGGTCAATACAATCCAACTCGTTGTCCGAGATCAGCTATGGACTCTTCTGAGCTCTCGTTACGAGACTATTGACTTGGGACTAGATAATCTTGAGATGCTAGATTAGACCTCAATATTCTACCTTGCCGCAATACCCAGCGATTTTTCACCCAGCAATCGTTATATCATGTGGCGTAAGTGATTAGGTGGATGCCTCTCGAGACATCGCACAAGACACTGTTGTCCCTGACAACTGTCGCATATCCCTTGAACAGGACGCTCATGATGGAATGACGAAATAGCTCAAAAGGCCATTACAGCGCCTCGTCACTATGTCTAAGACTCTATCAAGTGAGGACGAAGTATTGGTTGCTGAAGGGTCATGCGTCTCCATAAGCGGTTAGGTAGGGTTTGAATGTACAAGGTATAGAAGCATTCCACACATTCCTTGGTGTGTTTGCACATTTCGTCCTGCATTCCGTTCTACTTTTTTTGACAACCATCACATACCACTGAAATCAATAACAAAACATATGATGGCGCCATCAACTTTACAGCTTTGTGGAACCGTTTTCTTCTCTGCTGCGTCTCTCGCGCCTCTTGCGACGGCGCATCTTGTCGCCAGTGCATCGTTTGTCATCTTTCGTTTTTCTCAACCCCCTTTGAACGCAGTCTTAGTTGAAGTTTCCGCACAAATAGCAATTGACTCTACCACGAGAGTATCTCAGCCAGTTCACAATACTAGACAAGAATCGCATGACCTCGATCACCATATCGTGAAGTGCGTCTCGAATTATATGCGCTTGAGCAGACTTCAAAACTCGACGAAGGCGCACCCTTTTCAACTTCTTATCCGGCAGACGCGACATGGCTCCCTTGAATATACGCGATCTGTCTGGAAGCCAACAAGAGCTAAGTACGGGCGCTTTAGTTGGAATCCTCACGAGCGTAGGAATCGTAATCTTAGGCCTTCTCCTTGGCCTTACATGGCTCCTTGTCCGAGCTGTCAGAACTCACAAACGACTACTTTCAGACTTTGAACAGCGTAGAGTCAACATAGGTCGTCCGCGGATGACCGAGAACGATCATACGCTTATTACGAGACCTCGCGCAGTTCTGAGACGCAACTCCTTCCTCCCGTTCAACTCGCAATCCGGATGGGGTACACTTCCGTCACACGAGACCATCCCAAATCCCGTGCCTCCCCCACCTCTTCCACCACTACCAGTGACTGCGCCGAAGTGGACCGATCAGGACAAACGAGTCAGTCGTCTGTCATGGCCCTTTCCGGGGCGCAGAAAGTCGGGTCGCGCTTTGCAGCTGAAAAAACTTCGAGTGGCGCCTCTATCAGCTATTGTTGAAAGTCCGAAGGCGTCTGCTCTGGTGCCCATCTTGAATGGACCTACACAAGGACGTTCGTCAGCGTCGATAGGGACTAAAAGTCGGCCAAACTCTGATCAGTCACTCCTCAAACACCATCCGGCTCTGCGAGGAAACTGGGAAGGAAACTCCGCAGGAACAAGCCGCCGTAGAGAGGATATGGATACTAAGACGACAGATACCCAGAATATTACTCTAGCAAAGCGCTACAGGCTGAATAGGTCCAAGTCGGTCGCCGCAATTCCTATAAAAGATCCATCGAATCAGTTGACCAGCTTCGAACGCCCCCAATTGCACCAGAGGTCCATGAGTCTTGGTAGTCAAGCATCTGGGCTTGCACCAGATGCTCCTATGCCACCATTGCCTTTGGAAGTCGCCCGAATCAAATCGGAGGCAAAGCGCAAAAGCCTGCTTGCGCGAAGCCCATCCCGCTTCTCCATCTCAAGTTTTGAGTCTGCTGGAAGCTCGATCCTCGCCACCCATTCCAGCCCAATTGTCAAACAGAACAATCTCCATTTGCAAAAAGTCACAAAAAGGCACTCGGTTTGTCTCGGACCACGGCCCTTCCGAGACACGCTTACGCTTCACGGACGCAACCCACGTTCTTCCCAAAGTTCGATCAAGAGTAACGTAGCGCATTACAGTGTTACCACAACGCCGTCCAGTAAGCGACAGTCCACTGTGTCCAATAAGCGACACTCTGCTGTCGAGGGTATGACTTCGAGAGAGAACAGCGGTAATATCCGGACTCTTGCAAATTTCAGATCATCAGACTCAGCACGATGGAAACGAGCTTCACTTGCATCGCCGGCAAGCAGTACTCGTACTGTGCGAAGCATGACAACTCCAAGACGGCATTCTGGAATCACGGTTACTGCGTTTGGATCACCTCAGGAGCGAAAAAAGACTTCCGCCCTTCGCGATGTCTCAGGGAATCAAGGGCCGCCAACGCGCCAGTTATCGCAAGCTTCAACTCAGGCTTCATCAACACGCAGCAGCAACGGCAATCCATTTCAATGGGATCCTGCACCTCTCCTATCTGGAAAACCTTCTGCGTTGAAAGGCAGTCCTAGTGCTCGAAAGGGACATCGGAGACAGAATTGCGTACGCATATCACTCGCACCTACAATACTTGGGCCTCCAAGCAGGTCGCCTAGTCCTTGTCCGTCGGCAATGAATGACATCCAAGAGGAATCTCCCGACACATCCCAAAAGGCAGCCTCGCATTCCGTCATTGGGTTCTCAAACACAAGATCTCTTCCGCGACCACCAAGCTCGTCGGTCTTTGCCCCAGATCTGAAGCTGAATCCTTCATTCCGAACATCACTGACTCCAAGCTCACCAACTCTGTCACTAGCAACTTACCGTATGGAAAATACAGAGTCTCCACAGCTTGGCCAGAATAAGAACCCCGGGAACCGCACACGCGACTCGAGCCGGCTAAGTACCGGCTCGATATCGAGCATCCCGATATTTCCTAGTCCGTGTCATGATATCGGATCCATTCGCAGTATAGCAGAAGCTCCGCCTACGTTCGCGTTCTCGCGACCATCCAATGAATACGCGCAGGAGATCAGGACGCCGGACTCTCCAATCGCTCCATCGTCACCATTTGACTCGATCATTCCAGATTCGACATCCTCTCGAAGAATACCAGAGCACGTAGAGAAGTACAATCCGGATACACCGCATCTCGGGTTCTCAACAGCTGCTATCAGCTCACCAACGCAATTTTCTTCGCCTTTTACGCCGGCTTCTAACGATTTCGCTTCCAAATCTTGCGATAGTAAGAAACACAGCAGATCTCCATCAGATTCTCCTCCCTGCTCTCCAAAGACTATTCGGCCTCATGCATTCCTACCGATATCTGCTACCCGGCCTCCACTTGTATTCAACTCAGAATACCAGCCTTCTCCGAGGGATGGATCGTTGCTAGATACCATTGATCCTGCAGTTCTAAACAACGATATCTTTACCAGCCCCACTAGCGGGATAAGTAGAAGTCTTTTGAACTCCCCAACTTGCAATACCACACACAATGCTCATGATTGGAATGCGACAACGGTATCTACGCTCCTCGATCCACTCCATGAAATCACAATTACCTCTCAGCCTCGTACTTGGTCTACACCCCCAAAGGTAGCTCCCTTAACTTATGCACGGTCACATTCGCACTCTCAATCCGCACTCCAGCCCCCAACCTTTCGACCGCAATTCCCCCTCAGCTTCAATCTCAATCTACGTCTTGATCCTCCTACAGCTTCCAATAATGAAACCCCCGAATCACCAACCTCAGTCTACTCCTCTCCATCCGCCACGGCTCCATCGTCTCCACGTCCGGCGCACGCCTCACTTCCTGTAGCTCTACCCACAAAGTTGACTCGGCTATCCCAAACTACCATTCCAACTCTCTCACACACTCCTATGGGCCCACGCGCTAGTCCCCCAAAAGACCTCCGCCGCACGGTTGCCGAACTGCGACGTATGAATTCAGACGCAGAGAGGGGAGGCCATGGGGAGCGACGATACCTACGTTTAGGGCGAGAGGCGACTCTCCCGGGTTTGAGCGCGGTTGGCGACGATAGCCTGTGGGATGATAGTGTCCTGGAGACAGAACGGCAACTGTCAGACGTGCACGAGAATTGGGAAGACGCGATCATCGCCGAAGACGGAGAGGCTGAGACTGGGGACGAAGGCGATCAGGCCTTCATTGAAGTTGCGGAAACGAACGGCGATGTCCAAGCCAACGGAGCGGTTAAAGGTCCCCCAGAGCCAGACTTTGACCTCGATACCAGCATCTCGAAGTCCTTCTACAACAGCAACGTCCAGGAGAACCGATCTAGTTCTGTTTGGGAAGATGGCGAGCGTTTCTGGCACTCGACGCCGCCCCGCCCACGCGAGGCGCAGACTCCTACGCCCTCTCCTTCACCGTCACCAGTCGCGAGGCCAGAACCGCTTCGAGTGAGCATGGCCCAGAAGCGAGCTAGCAGGAAGTCGTTTGTTGTGAGGCCAGATGACGGGGATACGGATGTTGGTGCTAAGGCCGCTAGTGGTAGTACGAAGAGGGTGTGTAGAGCGAGAGCAAATACTAGCGGGACGGGTACAACGAACGGGATTGCGAGGGTCAGTATACAGATACAGCCGCCAAGTGAGAGGGGGACACCAGGGAGTCTGTATGATGCACAGGGATTTTTGAGGTAGTAGGAGGGGACGAGATGATTGATAGGGGGTATTTGTCACGCTCTTTCATTTTTCATATGTAGCTTAATCATTATTTTTGGGTTTATAGGACACTTAATGCAGTAACCTGATTGTGATTTTGGTTTTTACTTTACGTTCTAAAGCTGTGGGCTTGTCGACCAATTTGCGGCGTCACACAAGCATCTATTACGTGGTTGCAGAGTTTCTATTGAAGGTCTTTCTCGATCTAAGTCTATTCGGCTGTATGATAATAACATTCGAATAGAAGAATAACACAAAGTTTAAGAGCATCCCCGTGACTGCTTACAGTCTCATTTATATGCAATCTGCACCCGAATGCACATGCACCAGTCTCGCCATCTACTTCACTATTCCAAGCCGACATGTAGCATCTGCAGCTAGTTGAAACACACTATCGTACATCTAAACACAGTGTTTCTCACATCGATTGGCCAAGCCTTTCAGAAAACCCATTCCTGGGTTACCACAAACTCGTAATAGAGCTGTCAATGAGCGTGCCATCTATAGCTCTTCCTCCATATCATTATGACCCGAGCATGAATAGTCACTCAGATCTCTGCCCATGGAATCTGAGCTAGGAACCGCAGGAGTGGGGTAGAGAAGATGGTCCAACAACGCATCCAGATCGGCCTCTGCGGAAGGCTCAGCAGAATAATTGATATCCTGAGAGTTGGCGGCAAGCTCTGTGCGGGTCTTGAGGCGCCACTCTACGTCAGCATCAGCGGGAGGACTAGCCCATCCAGCTTGGATTTCATTAAAAGCATCAGCAGCTGAAGCGAAAACATTTGGGGTCGCCGGAGGAGTTGGTGGCTGTAGACCTATAGCTGGATCGAAGTTCGCAGGCTGAGTACCAGGTGGGACAGCCGGAAAATTCGATTCGTGCGGAGCCAGCCCTTGTTGTAAGACCCAATTGTCGAGTGAGGGGTCGATGTTGATAAAAGACTGGTCTCGGTGAAGCGTCTGCGCAGCTGGTTCTGCTGCTGGTGCCAGGGTAGGCTGGATTACTCCTTGGGCAAGGCCTGGATCCATTTCTTCCGCGATCGAAGGGGTAGGCTGTGACTTCTTCGCCCTCGGCTTTCGTGGCTTTAGGACTTTCCGAGGCTCCTGGCCAGGGATAGGGACAACAGATGGCCCAGAGATTCTATCAGCTTGGAAATTCGGCCTCGCTGGCTGGGTAGTGATTGTTGGTGTGGCTGTAGCTGCCACGGAGCCTGCGGGATGTCCTGTATGGTCGGTTGATGTGACCGTCGGAGCTGCAGTAGCACTAAATCCATTGTGTAGGAGCAGTTGCAGCGCGGAATTGTTTGTGTGGGGCTGAACCTGCGGTGTCGCAGTTTGCGGGAGAGCCTGAGGCGACAACGTAGTCTGCGCCTACGCCTGATGTCCCATGTATGCTGCAAATGAGCGGATTCCGAGGACTGCAGCTTCTCCATACTCTTGAGTCACACTAGGTTCAACATAAACTTCGCGCGGGTTAATCTCCTTTGTCTTTTTGCGGTTGTTGTTTTTTCGATTGCGCTCCTTGCGGCGGCGCCATTCGATTGGAGCGTTGACGAACTGCTTGATCGATTTATCACTGGTCTCTCCTTTGAGGACTTCGTCACAAATCATCTTTTCCTTCTTCAACGCGTAGTACATTTTGAGAACTCGGTCTGCACAGGACAATTCTTGGTCTGGCTTACTTCCTGACCGGGAGGTCTTGGACTGTCCATCCAATGTCAGGTCAAGAGTCTTGTCAGCGAGAAAAAATCCCTCTTTATGGAGGGCCAAAGTCTCTTCAACTAGCTCATGACAAGAAGATTGAATTTCCTCTGCAGTAAAGTATGGCTGCTTAACGAAATGTTCATAACCCTTGCTAGTGGGGTTGTCCTCGACATCGATTGATCAATCATGCCCTGATAGAAGAGGTTGACGATTTTCAACCAGTCACCTTCTATCTCGTCGATTGTTGGATCATTCGTAGGAAGTATCCACGGTTGCCTTCTGGTCTTATCACGGCGCCATCTCCGAGCCTCGTTGAGATCCACGAAACGGTTGACAAAGGGAGGAAAAGCGCTTGGCGCAGTCTGAGAGATCGGTACGTTCTGGATAGCTGGGTTGGTCTGAGAGGCTGGGTCATTCTGAGGAGCTACGGTGTTCTGGGATGCTCCCGTCGGAATGCCTCTCTGGACTTCCGTCGTGTCGAGTTCGGGATTCAGAGACACGACTACCTCTGAGTTTGTAGCGGTATAGAACGAGTCTGCTGTATGTAGGGATCGAGCAGGTCTAAGGTGCTGAGTGTGCAGATAGCGCGGACGTATCTGCCCATGGGAGACTTGAGGCTGATCTTGCAATTCTGTTCTGAGTTCTGTTTCCCCTTCCTCGCGCTCATCTAATTCATTCTTGTTCCTTGAACGAGCTTATGAAAGCATGGAGTTGTGTAGCTGTAAGATGTCTGTATCGCCTGGGTCCGCCTGAGTACCTTGCGTCCCTATAGATGTCGGAATGTTGATTGATATCGGCTGGAGGGCCCTTCCTTGGTACGCTTCCCCCATCGTAGCCTGGTCATTGCTTCGGACTTTTTTGGGAGCTTGCTCGCTGGAAAACAAATTCTCAACTTCTCCAAAGCTGCGCTTGGGCGCCATCCCGTCAGTCTGTTAAAGGTTCTGGGTTAGATCGAAAATGAAACACGGATATGAGGATGAGCGGGTTTGTCAGAGACTGATAAGGTAGCGGTGTTGATGTAATTTGGGGCAAGGTAAACAGGTACGCCGATTCGACGAGAAAACTAGAGCATTCTGTCGTATATAGGGAGGGCGAACGTTTTCTCAAGCCTCGAAACAAGTAGACCAACTTACCAAGAATGAGTTTGATTTATTCTAGGTGGCGGACTCTATGAGAGTGAACGCAATGAATCTATGAGATGGCGGTTGTGGGGTTGGTGAGAAGAGGTTGGTGGGAAGAGGTTGATGGGAAGGTTTCGTGTAGAAAGATTGACTCTTTTATAGTCGGGGTGCACGCCGCGCACGGTGATATACCGAAGAAAACCGTAGTCAGAACTGTAGAGCGGTGGATTTTACCGTCGCTGGGTCCGCGACGAACGCTCAAGTGGTGAATGGAAGTTGGTTGACGTGACTTCAGCGTGCGCTCCCGTGTGCCTCTCTGATCCCGCGCACTTAACTCCTCTGCATATATAAAGCGCTTCAAGCCAATATACTGCATAACATGATACTACGCTCTCATCAACTTATCAACTTTAACGAGCTGATGAATTGGCTTGGTCAACTTGCTAATATCAACGAATTAATGGAAGTTGGTTTGGGGTGTTGGTAGATCAACATACAAACATCTTACAGCTAATGGAATTGGTTCGCAGCCTTGCTTCCGTGTAATGAAGACGGATATAAGAGTCTAATACACAATACGCTGTTGATCATCATCACATATGAAAGATGAGTAGCACCAACCGAGACAGACGAAGAAGAGAATCTTCGAAACTTGATGATGAACTGCTTTACTACTCGAAGACAGGCATTACCGCAGATTCCCAAAAGTAGTTCGCTAGCTTTTTGGTGAGTTCGGCCTTGATGTATTGCATCAGCGTCGTACTGCTAACGTCTATACACTCCACTATGGCTACACACAGGAGGTTACTGAGGCTCCCGAGCTCCCGAAGCTCCGCCCGTCCGTAGCCACCCCATGAGAGAGGCGAGAGATTTAGCGGCCTCGCTCCGACCAACTTAGGTTGCAAATGATGGCGAAGTGACGCCCAGACGAGGATGTTGTTCGAGTTGTCGGATAAAGTGGTGTTGTGATATCGTTGACGAGCTAGTGTGATAGATAGCCAAAGACTAGACCAGCCCGCGACCTCTTCGAGTGGCCCTCTCCCCTGCATAGAGAAAGTTGTCCTATACAGTCTTAGCATTAGTTAAGCAGACATACATATCGTGAATATAAAAGAGGTAGAAAAGCTTAAGAGAAGAAAACCCAGTCGAGAGGCTACCGAGAGAATGAAGAGAACTGACAACGATGTTGAGCTAGAAGACCAGACTGAGTGCCTTCAGAGTACATGGGGCTAGATATTGTGCATCTTTACTGGCCGGTTGCTGTTTGCTCGCTCTGCTTAGACTTATTCCCCCGAGGGAAAAGGGAATCTCGTGTCTGCTTTCTTATTTTTTGTCTTCCGACGAAATCAGATGCTATCGCCTGCATGACCGGCATAATCTCGAATCATTAAGATAGCAATAGATTCTAACGTAGGTGATGGGGTTATTACGGTGGTCTAAGCTTTTACATGCATTCGGAATCAGTGCACCTGCCAGGCTTTTTCTTGATGTTTGGAACCGTAATAACTACCTCCACCGTAATAACCCCGTCACCTACGTTATAGAGTCTTGGATAGGGTATTTGAATTGGCTCGTGCACATATACACGTGATATGACGGAGAATACCGTGTGTATACAAAAATCGCATAGAATCAGCATTATATTATATTTAGTTTAGGGGGCGGGTAATTTGACACCGCCTTTCGAGTAACCGCACACCCCTTTTCGAGTAACCACACACCCCCCCTCTCTTGGTGCTTCACCGCCTTCTAATTGGCTTATAGCAGTGCGGAGGAAGCTCCGAGCATTCACCTTTACGTCTCTCTACACGTGATGCTATACGCAAGGCCGTACGTGATGCTATATACGAGGCCGTACGTGATGCTATACACGAGCTTATGTACAGCTATATAGCTATGCCGATTTGTATAGCCTTACGTATAGCCTCAGGTACAAGCTTACGTACGAGCTTACGTAGTCTAAGTCTAAGTATAAGTATAGAATGGAATTCTATTCTAGAAGTGCCTACGTGCCTAATAGCATGCCAAACCTGTT